ATGGATGGATGGTTGGATGGATGGATGGATGGATGATGGATGATGGATTGATAGAGAGACAAATGGATGGATGGCTGGTTGGATGGATGATGGATGGGTGGGTGGCTAGGTGGATGTGCAAATTGCCAGGTGATTGATTAATTGATATATGAATGCATTGATGTGGGATAGATGATATGATTATTTACCAAAGAAGAACTGTTTGAGAAAAGAATACAGCAGAAATTGAGGGATCAATAGAAGACAACTGGGGTGAATATGACCAAAGTTCATGATATATCTGCAATAATATTTCAGAAATAAGTCCAACACTTTGTATAATAAATATACATTTTAGAAAGGTAGGAAAACAAGAACTGATTGTAACCCATTCAGGCATCTACTTAAAGTTAACATAGTTTCTTTTTTCTCTCAGATTTGTGTGTATCCGTGTGTGTGTGTGTGTGTGTGTGTGTGTGTGTGTGTGTTGTTTCATAGAGGTTAAATTCCAAGTAGTCATCTTCCTGAATTTATTTTTTATTGATCCAATTTTCTGGGTTCTGAAAATAACTACCAATGTTATAATTTGTTGGAAAAATCTTTGAAGCTTTTATCAATAATGAGAAAACAGAAACAGAAGTTTAGGGTATGCTTTACTTACATGAGAATTTAGATAATAAAAGAGAAATGTTTTCATTTCATGTTCTCATCCAGTGTTATAGATATTTTTTAGGGTATCTTACATGTATGAGAACAGAGTTTACAGTATAAATATAGTATACAAACGACCACTAAAATATTGACCTGAATGGTCAACAATTATATAAAGTATTAATGTTTTGATGCAAATTATATGATGATAAATTTTACTAATTTTGAGATCAGACACTTTGATCTGGCATATGACCACAGACAATGGCAAAAATTTTTACTAATATTGAAAGGTAAAAGACCAAACAGTCTTGTATAAAAATATAAATATAGGCAACTTAATTTTATGTCTTGAACTTAATATTTGATTTTCAGTGAGAAAAGTACTATGAGTGGAAGACAACAGTGTATCTTAGTAATGCTTAATGGGAATGGTGAAAGTATTTGGCTATTAATTTGTTTTGGCGTTAGTTAATGTAGCTTCTGAAACTCCAACAGGAAGGATTATTGGCACAGGAAGAATTATACTCATCAGTTTGACCAGATGGCTGTTTTATAGGACTTAGTCTTTTGAGGAAAGGCAGAAGCTATGGTTTGAGCAGCAGTATACCCTGGGGTTTTTGTGAAGAGCTCAGAGCACCACGCTAGGATACTGATGAAGAATCTCATTCTTTTGAGGTTAGAGGAGCCAGATAAATGATAACAGTGGCTAACAGTAATCTTCAATGTTCAGTTTGCCATAAACTCATAAGCACTGAATAGATATTAACTGAGCCCAAGTACATTTCTTTTACAGAGTTCCAGTCATTATGCAAATTTTACAGACGAGCCTTCAAAGAGTTTATGTTATTTCCCTTGGTACTATGAATAACTGAATGTGTGGCAATATGCACTGTGTGTGTGTGTGTGTGTGTGTGTGTGGTGTGTATATGTGTGTAAGTTAACATGTATGACCAGCAATATCCAATGCCTGGATGGTACCACACTAACAAAGAAGAGTCCTGTGGTCTCTGCAGCATGTGTTAAGCTAGGCATTGATGTTGCCTGTGGAAACCATGATGCCAGATGTGCCTTTGCATCTCCTTCATCATTCTCACAATACGCATGATAACTTTACACACTGGATGTTAGTACCTAAGGAAGACATAATTCAACTTTAAAAGTTAGTGGTTTTTTCAACTTGGCAAGTCTGTTCCTTTGCTCAGAATGTATTATCATAATACAAGGAGAGAACTGGTATCTGGTCAAGGAATCTCTGACACATTCATTCTCTGAAAAACTGTTTGAACAGAAGTGTTAGGGCCTCTGGACACAGCAGATGTTTTTCTGGTATAGAAGGAGATTTTTAAACAAAGAAAATACTTTCATGAAAATAAACATCATCTTTTAGATAGCTTTTCAAACCATGCTTTAGAAATTAGTGCTGCATTAAAATTCTAGAATAAACTATCGTTACACTTCATATTTTATTTTTTTATTTGTTTTGTATATGTGTGAGTGCCTGTACATATATGCCTGGTGCCAGTAGTGATCAGAGGAGGGTCTTGGATCCCCAGGAACTGGAGTAACAGGCAGTTGTGAGTTAAATAAGTGATATGGGTTCTGAGAACTGAATGCAAGTCCTTTATAAAAGTAGTAAGTGTTCTTAACCCCAGAGCCACCTCTCCAGTCTCCTATGTCATTGTTCTAAGAGACTGATTCATTCCTTAACGCTCTGTTAAACAGAGAGAAGTTCATACTTACATCCACAAATATCTATGTAAGTTAATAGTTACTCATTAGAAATTGTTTGTATTGCCACCCAGAAAAAAAAGGGGGGTATGTTTACTTCCAAACACAGTGCCTTCAAATGATAATCATTTAGAGTTTTCATCAAGCCATCATTTTATTATATGAGATTTTGAAGAAGCATCTCAATTTTGCTGCCTCTAGCACAATAACCATGTTTAGCATGGGTAACTGTTGGGTGTTTTGTTTAGTTGTAGACAAGCATTGTTGGGGAAGTGTCTAAATCACGAAATAAGAAGACCATATGAGAAAGGATCATATGTTTAGGAGTGCATATATTCTTACATATCATTATTGCTCTAAATGCATCTCAGGTAAAACTGCAGTTCAGTTTGAAGTTTCACATTCAAATAGCTTCATTTATGTCTTTTCATTCTCTCTCTTTATGCATGTATATATAACATACTTATTATATATTATAGCTAATATATAATATATAATTAATATATAATTTTAGAAATTTACAATAAGTAAGATTTTGCTGTTCAGAGTGAGAACTCCATTGATGTTAGCTAAACCACACATGCTGACTTTAGTTCCATGCTGGCTAACCCTTTCTCAAACTAATTCTTTGAACCCCAGAAGTCCTTTCACCTACTCACACCTGTGTTTATGGGATATATTTCAATAGTTACCATAGTGATATTCTTAATTCTACTATAGTACACACAGAATTTATCAACTAAAATGAATTATTTTAATGAGCATATATTTAGAGATAAAATATCTTATAAATGTAAATTATGTTTTCTACTAGAGAACACTATATTCAGTGAAAAATTGATGTCTTTCAGGACACTAGCATTAATAGTGTCTAATATATTATTTATATCTGGTATCAGATAGATCCTAAAGTCACAGGTAGTTCTAGGCCAGTTATTTATTATTAATTTTATAAATATCAACTGAGCACTGATATTGTGAGACTCCATATTAATTACAGAGCCTGGTCAAATAAGATGAGGAAAATCTTAACAAAATAATGGTTTTTTTTTTATAAATTTAGTCTTATTTATCAATTTTAAAGTTATTATGCCTGTAATGTTTGTCTTCTATTTTCATGAATAAAACCTCTATAACTGGGAGTGTAGAATTCATTGTTCATTAATTGAATTCATTCTGTATCACTGTGGATCAAACTGGAGTTGTTTTGATGCTTCACATTCACATTTCTTTTTATATGTTTTTACATTTCAGTGTGTTCTGAATTAAACATGAACAAAGATACAAAAATCTTTGACTTATTTGCTCAAAACTAAGTATGTGTGTGTGTACAGTATCAATCAATAATATATTATATACTGTAATATATAATGTGACATTTATTATATATTATATATTGTATATAAATGTTATGTGTTATATATTATATATTTCATATATGATATATTACATATATTATAAAATTATAGTAATATATATGTATGTATGTATACACACACACACACACACACACACACATATATATATATATATATTGTTGCTTGAAAATGTTTTTGTTGAGTATTTTATCTCTAAATAGATGCTCTGACTCACTGTATACACCTTTTTTGAGTTATTGTGCCACATGCTTTTCACTAAGTGAAAATTAACTGCCTATAA